CGAAAGAATAAAAAAAAATATAATAGAATTTAATTTAATAAATTAATATTTTAATATAATTAACAAACCAAAATATCCTTATTAATAGCATTAATTTTTATAACTTTCCCGTAAACATATCATTCAATTTAATTAAAAATGTTTAAATAATCAGAAATTGTGATTGATCGTATTTAAATAAATCACATTTATAAAAGTTGTTTTGAATATTTGTGAACAATCAACCATAAATGAGGAAAAAATAATACAGAAATTACCAATAGGCCTATTTGTACCGTCCTAAAAATATTAAATAACGAATTATTTTATTTAAATAATTATTTATTTTGTTATAATATTTATTAATAAAGAGGTGTTTTTTTCTTTTTTAGGATGAAAATCGGCGAATAGAGGGATAAATCCAGATACAATAGCACCTTATCTACATATTGTATTATAGTGTTTTACTGATTAATAATAAAAAAAATTGCAGAATTTAAATCTTATATTAAATTTTATTTTCTTATAATTGTGAAAATACAAATAATTTAGATGAAGTATAAAATTTGAAACCGTAAATAGCGGATGAAGTTCGTATGTTATTTGCTGTGTAAAAGCCTTTTTTTTTTCTGTATTAAAACCAATCATGGAAACGGTCACATACAAAAATACAGATCTGATACATTTAGCGATATTTACAATTGTTCTTTTTCTGATCACATATAATTAAAAAGATGTTTTAATTCTATTATTCAAAATTATTCGTCTGTTTTTTCTTCCGAAGAAGACAATTTCAATTTATTGACGTCGTCGCGACCTTCTTTAGAATGTCGCCATTTCATTCGTCTATTTTGAAACCAAACTTTGACCTAATCAAAAAACTTTTTGTAAGTACTAAAAAGACTATTTACTCATCTTAAACGTTCAATTCTAATACTTTGTATTTGTTGAAATTAAAAATAAAATTACACACCTGAGCATCTGTTAAACCTAACGTAGCGGCTAATTGTCTTCTATCGGGTTTGGTGATATACTTTTGTATCATGAAACGTTTTTCTAAACCTTTTCTTTGTAGATTTGAAAAAACGGCTCGAGACCAAGATCTCTTCCTCTTATTCGTGGTATTACCATCATCGGTCGAAGTACCTCCATCGCACGCTAGAAATATGCAACAAAAAAAAAAAAAAAGCAACGAATTAAGCATATCTCGAAAGTTTAATGCCATTCTTATGTGACAAAATTATTGATTTTCAATTAAAAATTTGTCAGTCATTCTCACGGATGGACAGTTGCAGACAATTCGCATCTGAGGACATTTCACTATCAACTGAAAACAGCCCAGAAGCTGTGAGTCATTCTCTTATCACGGCAGCCCTACCGTTTCTGGTAAGGGTGGTCAACTTTCCGTTGTGTATATATCTATATAATATAATTTTCTTTTTTTTTTTTTCCTTATTTTAATTGCATTATAAAGAGTCCAACTTACATTATTATTTTTAAATGCGGTATTCGATCATCCTAAGTATCTTCAAAGTAAACATTTAAATTATTAATTAGATAAATATATACTGTATATTTTTTTAATTTTACATTTTAACAATTTATCTCTTTTGTTACATACAAATATATGTTACAGCAAAGTGCGGTTATAATATCAATTAACTTCTATGAGAAATTGTAAAACTATTTTTATCCCATGGAGAAATATTCACACTAAATCAAGGTCCAATCGTTTTTAATTAGAAGCGTTTATTTTATCTATCAGAATTATTATATTTACGGAAAATAATTAAATTAAATCATAGTCTAATAATAGCTACATATAATCATACTGTATACTGTGTATCCGGCAATACCAAGAGTCAAAACCATGATATTTTTATGATTTATTTATCATAAGCCCGCTTTTAAAGTGTACATACTTAAAAATTATATAATTTAACATTATGAAAATTTAATTTTAATGTTTTAAACAAATTTTTAACTCTCTTAAGAGGGAAAAAAAAAACAATCTTTTATTCCATATATAGTATCATTTATAAGTGATGTATCAAATATGTTTGCTGGACCATTTGCCCGGGGATCGTAGTATAGGCACCATTGGTCTACTACATTATGTTACTCTATATATTATCTTTATTATAAAAATTAAATTAAACTACTTTATAAGAAATAATATGTTTTTAAACATCGCCCTTTTAAAATTCCCACACGCGGGTCTGATAGGGCCGTCGATAGGGAGAAGCTGGGAATTTTTCTCTACGGCCGGAGAAAACTTAGAGACTCGTAGTGGTTCCTCCGTATAAATGAGTGTTGCTTTTACTTTAAAAGACTNTCTATGATTATATAAAATAAAATTCTTACCTTGTGTATAAGTAGTAAACTGATTAATAATATCTGGCGTGCACGATACAAAATAAGATCTGATAGGTTCGTAAGGTCTAGCTATGCAATTATAACAATTAGACAAATTATAGTAAAATTCGGTCTGATAGAGTTGGATGTTGTTTTTTCCTATTAAAAAAAATGGAAGATTGGTATGCGAAAAGCAAAGAGTTTTGGAAAGGAAGAGAAAAATTCCTACCTTTATCAAATCCAGGTGATATGTCATCGGATAAGATTCTTTCGATGCCGAATTTTAATCTGGAGGAACGTCGTAAATGATCATTATTCATTTCATCTCTGTTATTAGGGCGAACGCTTCTGTCGGAATAATATAAGTTAGAATTGGTTTTGGCCTTATCGCGATCGTAAAGGATTTCTGCGACGGTGAAAGATTTTTTAAAAGCGCTGGAAGTCGGCTGAACGGAAACCATGATGGGAAATTACACCGACTTAATACTAACACGTGCTTTTGGCTGTCGCTCCGATAGTAGGTAGAACGCATGCGCATTTACGTCACAGCAGGCAAAGTTTGTTGATGTATTCGTTGACGGTGGCAACGGATGATAAGCAAACATTAACAGCTAAGAGGGACGAGATGCTTTTTCGTTTAACGCTAATAGTAATTTATTGATGAATAAAAAGCTTTTCGAATTTGTAATTTAACGAAGTAGAGATATTTTTAATTAGTGTAAATAGGATTTTTGGAACATTGGTCTTTTGAAGTATAACCCGCGATTAATAAAAGATTCGAATAGCGAAACGAGTGTTCGGATTACCGGTCGAAAAGTAAACAGTCATTTATTAGATTTCTTGGCGACATTTGGACGACTAAACCTAAATGCGCTCTATACATTCCTAACAAATAATCTATTATAATGATTACATTAAAGGCTTGTGTGGCGATAAGGACCTATTGGATGTCTAGCCAAGTCAAGTACAGCTGTCGCCTCCTAAGTCCACAATATAAGCAACTATTGCCGTACACTGTATACAACTTAACGTCTTTTTCCTTGTATCAACTTCTTAATGATGTCGGCATTCTGTAATGTTAAGCGTCTTGAGTCATTCTAGCCGAATTACTTCTTGATATTTATTCTTCTCCTTTACATATTCTGTGACATGCAAGTTAACGATGTCGTAATTTTATCGTCCTGTAATACCAGTTTAAAGTGATTTTTTTTTACCGACCAGAAGAGATTCTTAAGTAAATGCGAACTAAAAATAATTAATTAAATGCTGAAGTAATTGCTCCCATCTCGCATTATTGGCTGAATGACGAAAGTTGTGGAGGTGGATATCACTTAACAGATACGTGACATTTGTGTGATGTAGGATAACAAGAGTCCTACGACATTATCAATTCGGGCCGTTGTCGTATTTCAAATTACTGATTGACAGTGTCGTTTCGTATTAAAACTGTACAGAATTTTAATATCGGTATTAAATTCATAATTTAATAGCCAAGTGCTCGAATCCTAATTTGGATTTTAATGTGATAGTCAGTGCTTAATGGTTATTATTATCTACTAAGTAGGATACCAATGTAGCTTATGAAATGCGTATATAACAGTAAGCACGATGAGCATTGATGGAATAATGCATGCTTCGAATGCTTGTATCTAAATATAACGTTAATTCGAACCACAATAAAGTTATAATGGCGCTCTTACGAGTTATAAATAGCCGTTTTCTATATGATTTACTAAGAATAGATTGTTTATATTCTGTCACTGCCTTTAAAAATGGCGATTAGAAGTAAGAGCCTATATTTAATCATTTGCGGACCATTAATTTAATGATAATTTTAAACTTTGTATTAACTTTTCTGATCCTTCGATAAGATATTTCAAATACACTGTTGACAAAATTAACAAAAAAAAAGCAGGATTAAAGTGCTCACCAGTGGTCTTCCACACACGAATACAGTGGGCGTCCGTTCCCAAACAGAACTGGAATTTGTCACTAAAAATAATATACTGCCAGTCCATAGCAGTCTATACCTCTTTGTCACAACACCACTGCATACAAAGCCAATGATATTGGAGTGCTAATGAAAGAATACACAGAAGTTGCCATGCATGCAAATATGCCTCTGCTAGTTGCCTGTCAATGAAAAGGCAGGGTTTTGTAGTGAGGTTTCCACCTGTCTCTGTATGGTGGATGAAGATGCTGTTGCAGCTATTTGTGTTTGTCTCACAATCGGATGATCACCTCTTCTGGTGGTCTGTCCTGGGCATGCACAGCCTGCCCACTATGTATGTGTGCCCTCACATATCCACTGCTCCAACACATGCTCCAACACAGATCAGAATGACCCCGATGGTTATCAATTCAGTGAAATGTTTCTCTCAGCCTGTCTCAAACTCCGTCAACTGTGCACGATATCTTTGACTGCATCATACATATATGCCTGGCATTCATATACCTCCAAGCAACAGATATACTGTAAACTTTGAACACATTAATCCTCTGCAAGCCTTTTTATAAGATGCTTAAGTAGTGATTTTAACAGACTCTGGTGGCATTATCTGGTGGCATTATCTGGTAGCTGATCAGGCAATTCTATCAGGATGTAACTTTTGGTCAATGAATATATGTATTTTTACTGTCATAAATATTCAGATAATTCATTTTTGAAGAAAATAGTACTTGAAGGAATAAGAAAGAAAAGCAAAAACTATCATTGCACATGTTAATATAAAGATTTGTAAATAGTTAGAAATGGTCATAATTTTATTCTATTAAATTATAACATTTTAATTAGTGATGTAATAAAATAATTATTATTTTGAAGTAGTGTTTGGAAATGTTGATATAAAATAAATAAATCATAACTGTTGCTACATTTTACTTGAAGCTACATTTTGAAATAAAATTTAGCAACAATTTTATATCAATGATATTTTATTGATATATTTCACTTTAGATTAAAAAATATATCAATTTTCTTTGATTATAAATTCAATAAATATTATGTTGCAAGCAATATACTTTAGATACACAATTATAAATAATATATACTACAACTTTAAATAAATAAATAATGCATATACAACTATAAATAAATATATACTATGTCTATGTATTATTCATTTTAAATTATGTTTAGTAAAATACAAACTCAAATTAGTCTTGATTGTATATGTAATGTCTATTAATTGGTGATGTTTTTAATTAACAAATATTAGTGTTATACAAGTTATAAATAATTTGTAAAACAATTAACTTGTAATATATGAAAATTATTAATGGTAGATTAATAATTTTGTATGAAAACAAATGATTAAAATTGCTTTTAAATACAAAAGTACACTAATTTGCAAAAAACTTTAAAATACAGTACATTTTTCAATTGGTTCAAAGATGTTTCTATAAAGTAATGATGTTACAGGCAGACTGTGTCAAAAGAATTAAAGTAAGTTAAGATATCACCACTCAAAAGAGCCACATGAGCATGGCCTATTTAAGGAAGGACTTTGCAATTGCATGGTATTTATAACAAATTAATATAAATAAAATATATAGTACTGTGCATTAAATAGAATAAAGGAAATTTCTTGAAAAAATCATACCAAATTAGTTTTCTCAGGTATATATTTCCACTTTTTATTGAACAATAGAATATTGAGTAAAAATGAAACACTCTGAGCAGTCCCAATAGAGTATTTATAAACAAAACAAAATAAATTGTGCTTTGTAACAATATACCTTCTGATATGTCTTGAACTTGGTTTCAGTTTCTTTTTGACTTTTCTTTATATAAAACAAATATAACTTTCTAATCCAAACATCTTTGTATGACAATTAGTTTTCAATAGTGATAGTGCACTTATGTTTAGCCTTAATTCTCAACTTGACAAAAAGAATTTTAGTTTTAATAATTTTTAATATGTAATTATTTCATAAGAATTTTAAAAACTAAAACCAATTTAGAAAATACAAATGAGTGAAAATTTCACATATTAATTTTTAATCACAATATAAAAATACAGAAATGGAAAAAATTACCTTGAAGAAATTATATATTCAAACTAACAAACTTTTTAATAAAAATAAATGTAATAAAAGGCAATTCACAAAAAATACTGAAATGCAAAAATGCAGTAAAACTTTCACTTAAAATGGCATTTTTCACTGTAATGGGTCACCTAAGATTATTGAAATTTTAAGAATTCATACATATAATATAATATAATAAGAATTCATACATTATATGATATAAATTATAAAAAGTTTTGTTAACTTTTTACTTTAATTTTAAATAAATATCAGACATTTATTTGAAATTAAGACTATAATATATTTACAGAAATCAAAAAGTTTTTTTGATATTATTTGCATTCCAAGAGGAACTCTACTTTCTCTTTTGCTCAGGTAAGTGCTATCATTTCAAATTATCTTAAATTATATACTGGAAAGTAGTGTAAGGCTAAAGTTTTGTCAAATTTTGAATTGAAGTTTCAACTTTAACATCTGAAATGATCCACCAATGATTACAGAAAATATCACTTACCAGAGCAAGTTTTTTTTTTTAATACTGTGATGTGAATCTTAACATTTAAATCTCTGTTTAAAAGATATTAAATTCTGAGTTTTATCAAATAATACATAATCAATGATTTTTCAATTCTTACTCCATGAAAACATCATCTAGAATACTTTGTGCAACACTACCAGCCAATACTTTTAAACAAGTATAGCAAACATTGCTACTTTTAAACAAATAAATTCAACTATTGTTGGCTCTTCTTTTCAATATATTCTACACTTTTCTTATTAATATATGGTTTTCTTTTTCTTTTCATTAGTTACTGAAATAATTTCACATTTTAACTCTTTTAAGTATATGAAAAAATTAGTGATTAAATGTATAAATTATAGAACTGTTTTAAAAGCTACTGAAACATTGTAGGTGTACTTATTATGGTATAATTTACTATTATTTATCACAGTTATTATGCCAAACATTTCTAAAGAATATGTAACTCTGGCAGCTTTGGCAAAGAATGGGAGCTACCACTAGCTCCAACTCTGGCTCCAAAGCCCTGCTTTCAAAGGGTCCTAACAAATTAATTACTCAGTAAAATGTCAACGTTATTTATATATTTAAATGTACTGATTAAATATGTATGTAATAAAGAAAATCCATTACAATATTTCGTAATATATACAGTATACAGATCTAATTCTCAGTTATGTGGTAGTTCAGCGTTTCCCAAACTGGGAACAATAGATCATGGAGATCTGCAGACTACTTCCAAAGAACATATAAAACATACAGAAGGTATTAGCAATGTGTGTCTATTTTTCTAAAAAATATCGTTAAGCTGTGTTCAGACGAGCACAGTATCACAGTATACGAGAAGCATCACAGACTATCAATTAAGGCCGTCCATTGAACACACTGTTCATCAGAGCTTTTGAGTCGGAGCTTCTATGTTTTTCAGGAGCTGGATTTCATTTTCCTGGAAAGTTCCTGTATGATAAATTCATAATAAAAGCAAATTTATTCTAAATCGAAATATCTTTTTATATTTGTTTTAATTATTAGTTCGCACTTTAAGTTTATTGAAAATAATATTACTTTCCCCGACTCTGTTATATAAATTAAGTATAGCGATCGAGAACAAAATGATCCCCCAAGATTTTTACATTTTTGAACTCGGGGGACCTTGAAACGTCGTGAAATGCAAAAAATTCGTGGTATTTTCCTATATTATGGATGTTAGTGCGTGTTTGGGGGGCATCCACTTTGAAGCTTGATAACTCCTGTGTCCTTTGTTGAAAATTTCTGAAATTTTGCAGGGAGGTTTGTGTATAAGAAAGATTGATGCTATTAAATTTTGATGGTTAAGGGTCAAAGGGTAGGGAGATAGAGGAAGTCACGTGTCATACCTCGAGTGGGGTCATTATTAGCATTTACAATTTACAATTTTTTTTAAAAAAATAAAACTCCTCTTTATCTTCGAAATTAAGCTTTGTGACATTTTATAATAATTAATAATATTAAAATATTTTAAAATAAAATATGACAGACGGCACCACACATTATTTTAAATTTTTTTTTGCCAGAAAAGTTACGCAACTCGTTGCTGGATTTTTCGAATATTAAATCTGATTTATTTTAAATCGCACGATTGTTAATAAGATCATTAGCAATTTAGAATAAGAAATTTAATTCAAATTGTACAAATGTCAATTAATAAAAATCTTGTCGTCACCAAATACAAAAGCTGCTCATCAGCAGCTCCTGCATCAGATAGAAAATAAGATAAATCTTTCATTTCGATGTTTACGCCTGAAGTGACAACTGAACTGCATTCACAAGTGGTTTAGGCATTTGTTGATGTCATGTTGGTATGTATCTAAAAACAGTAAACATACATCTTCATCTAAGTATTAACTCGGGCTTAGTCTCAAGTTTTAACTATACAAACTATTGTGTATGTTTGGTTGCCTTAATTGTTTCTTTCGTAAATAAGCGAAACCTTCTAATAATTTTGTAATAATTTAAACTAAATTTTTATTCTTCTAATAGTGAGACTAGTGATCTTTGTCACGTCTTTCTTAATTATCGACAATAAACAGAGATCAAGATTAAAACAATTCACTTTATTTCGCCTATTTAACAATGCATTTCGGACTGGTATTATCCAGTCCCTCTTCAGGCTACAATTTCAAATTTAAAAGATTTAAATTTACAACAAGCACCTCGTGGCTCCAGTGTCCAACCAAGGTTGTGTCATTCTGTCCAGTGTATTCGTCAAAAAAAAAAAATTAGCAAAGTTAAATGGTATAAAAAATGGTTAGGTATGTTGACGATATTTTAATAATATACAATAAGAATATCATAAAATATGGCAGTAGTAGTTTACAAGTTGAGCCGTCTTGTATAAATAAAGTATATTATATACAGTAGATGAGTCTAAAAGACCATTAGCAGATAGATTTAAAGAACACGAGGTTAAAATACCACCAATCTCTACGGATCCCACATTGCGAAGAAAGTAATTGTAATTTAGATATAAATAATATTAAAGCTTCATTTAAAGATAATGACACGTATATAAGAAAGTTTAAAGAACACACAGCTATTATCCATTGTCAAAATTGTATCAGCTAAATAACGGGATGGAAATTGATGACGTATGGTACGATGGTGTCGCAAATGTGAAGTTGGGTAGAGTGACACGACAACCTTGGGAGACGTGAGGTTCGTTTTTTATATTTATAAATTTAAATCTTAATTTTTTTTAATTAATATATATATTTTCTTAATTTAAAATTTGTAGCCTGAAGAGGGATTGGATAATAGCAATCCGAAATGCATTGTTAAATAGGCGAAATAAAGTGAATTGTTTTAATCTTGATCTCTGTTTATTGCCGATAATTAAGAAAGACGTGATAAAGATCACTAGTCTCATTATTACAAGATGAAAATTTTTATTTTTTAATATCTTAAATTAGTCCACTATTTTTGTGTCTTAGGATTGAATTGGGCCTGCTGTTATATATATATATATATAATAGATCTGGGAAAGTATTGCGATCGGTCAAAAAATGAACTCATATCATAATTTTTATATTTTTGGACTCGTTGGACCTTTGAAACGTCGTCGAGAAACGCAAAAATATTCGGATTTTTTCTTTCTGTACGTAGAGATGAGGGGTACGATTTTGTTCACCCTCTTTGAAGCTTAATAACTCCTGTGCTTTTTGTCGAATATTTCTGAAATTTTGCAGGGAGGTTTGTGTGTTAAGGAGATTGATGCTATTAAATTTTGGTGTTGAATCCTTATGTGATAAGCCGTATTTTGATAAGCTATTTGTTTTACTTTGTATTTGGGGTTAAAAGCGTACTTAATTTACTGAATTTTAGTCGTTAAAGGTCGAGATGGTGGGGACATAGAGGGGATTGTGTGTTGTGTCTCGAGTAGAGACGGACCTAATGAAGATTTTACTCGTTATTAGCATTTTTTAAAAATAAAACTCATCCGTGCCCTCAAAATTAACCTTTTTTCTATTTTATAATAATTACTTATATTTTATTAGAAAAACTTTTTTTATATAGCCTAATAGATGAGGCAGTTTTAAATATGTTGCCGGGAAAGTTAAGCAACTCGTTGCTGCATTTTTAATATTAGTAGTGATCATTTAAGAGTTACAGTTAAAAATTAACTATGAAATTCGACTTTCTATGTGTTATCGTGGATTGTATTATAAACATGATAACGTTTAAATGATTTAAATATGATTTAAATAAGTGGTTTATTTTCTTATTTCGATTTATTTAATTATTAGTAAAACTTATAATTAGTGAAACAGTATTATTTCATAATCTTTCGAATAGATATGATTTATTAATCACGCTTTTATTCAAATAAAAGTATTAATGTATAATATTTTAATACATGAGACATTAAGAATAATTTAACTAAATGTTTTTCCAAGTAAATTTTGATTTAAGAAATTCTTTTAAAAATGTTCTTCACCATTTAAGAGTCCCTCCTCTTTCAGCCCTGCAAACACTAAAATAACCTTTTTTTCATGTCCTATCATAGGTTTGGCTAGGACAATAATGAAAGGAGGGGTGGTGAGAGACGGATCAGACTTATACTCGTGAAAATCTTTGAGGATCCTGAGAGCCATTTGTTCGGAAACCGCCTCATAAGTAATAAGCGCATCCATGGTTTAAAACTAACCATAGCAAGAAGCTACTTACTCGCGCCAAAACAAAAAATACGAATTAACGGTAAAAAGAATATAATTATTTGTCTCCAAATCAATTGTCTGAACAAACATTAGTAGATTCAATATTAAAAGGTATTGTTTAAATAAATTATGGAAACGAAAAGAGAAAAAAAGCAGACAAACTCAGTGTTTTAGTTCAATTTTTCTGTAAAATTGAATAATAAATAAGTTGACTAATAAGAAATAATATAAAGGCGTTGCTTTTTTTTCTCTAAATAAATCAGAAAGTTTATTTCGCACACTAAAATATTGTATTTATATAGCCTACGGTAGGAAGACTTTATTTTATTTATATCACATTATTGTCATTACTGGATTTTGAAGATTTCAAAGATCGTGAATTGTATCTAGTAAAGCAGTAGTTTTTATCCTTTGTTTTGTTGATGTACCCTATTAGCCCATTAGTTGTTTCTCAAGTACCCCGTATATTTTTGTATGTAAATTTTATAATTACTGCGTTAGATGTATGGAGGAAAAGGTAGTATTATGGAACCACTCCATTTCGAACTGATAATAAAGGCGAACTGTAGCGGATTGTGGCTGAATTGAACTAGGCAGACATCCATAGCAAGGGGGAAAACCCGTTTCACTTCAGTTAAACGGTTGTCCGTAGTGAATCAGCAAATTCGTGTTTTTCAAAATTCGCAAGTTTTGAATGCTAAGTGAATTTAATTATTTTTAAAATATAAATCGTGTAGTTGTAGGTTCACTGGTGCGTGTATTCCGTTCCAGAGACTTAGGGGTACATCTGTGTGATGTTCACGCTTTTTAAAATTTGGTCTTGACAGACATAAATTAATTCAAGATGGTGATTCCATTGGTGCTTTTAATATGGAACCCAACTCCTCCGAACTCTCTATTTGCAAGCAGACATTCGTCCGGAGCAATTTGTGAAAAAGACACTAGGTAGAAAGTCAATTCTTCCTGAGAATATCGAAAAAGAGCTGCTGGAATATATATTGTTGGTGGAGGTCATATTTTTCTATTATAAAAGCATTTTTTCGATAAAATACATTGGAGTAAATAATTTTGTAATTATTTAACATTTTTTGTCCTTTCCTATTTGTTTTTGG